GTGTAGGATCATGCTGTGAGGAGCTGGCGCCATCTTGGCTGCAGAGGCTGAGAGCTGGGAAGAAGCCCGTCAGCTTTCTTGGCTGCACTGGTGATCTGCGGCGACGAGGCATGTCCCTGGGGATCTAGTGCTGTCCCACATCCCCTTATTAGCTTGGGAAGAGGTCCATGTTGTCGCTGGGTCCGGTGTGTGCCGGGTTATGGCTGGCGGTGAGACGGAGCTCTTGTCAATGAGCTGCCATCTTGGAGCCGGTCACACATGCGCCCCCCACCTTCAGGCTTTTAAAGGGCTTTATTTCCTCATTACTCTTTCTGACTACCTATCACAGTTTCAGAGGCCCTGAAATGCCAGGATAGCACCAAACCCCCCAAATGACCCCTTCAGGCTTTAAACGTGGTCATTGGATTTCAGGCTCCTGTATGTGGCTAGGCTCCCAAAAAGTCTCACACATGTGGTATTCCCATACTTGGTAGAAGTAGTAGAATGTATTTTGGGGTGTAATTCCACATATACCCATCATTTAAGTGACAACTTTGTTAAAAAAAAAATGTTTTTTGTCATTTTCCAAAGACTTTTGGAAAAAAAAATTCCATGGAATCAATATGTCTACATTTTTTATAGCCCAAAGTAAAAAAAATCTTTTTGTTTTCAAAATTTTCAGTTTTTTTTTGTTTATAGCACAAAAAATAAAAAAAGCACACAGGTGATAAAATACAACCAAAAGAAAGTTCTATTTGTTTTGAAAAAAAAAAAGGATATAAATTTTGTTTGCATACAGCATTGCATGACCTCGCAATTACTAGTTGAAATAGTGCAGTGCTGTATAGCAAAAAGAGGCCTGGTCAGGAAGGGGAGTAAATCCTCAGGAGGGCAAGTGGTTAAAATAGTGTAAAACTGATGTTGGGGCTTTTAACTCAGTTGATTTAATTTTATGATGTGCAGAAATGTACAAAAAAAACCTCATGGGTGCTGATTTGAGACATTCATATGGTACTATAGTTTACACATCATTCTGTAAATCCCTTTAACTCTATTAGCTATTTCTAGATCCACTAAAAATCAGTCTCAGCTTCTGAAGAAGACTTCAGAAATGTTGAATGTGTGGACAACTGTAGCCACAAACCATGATAATGCCTAAATCCTTTAACACTGTAGATATGTAAGAACAAAAGTATCCGCCTGTTAGATTTGACCATTATTGAAGTCAGTTTACTCCTGACTCTGGAGGACAACCATGTACTGTAAAGACAGGGAAACTTCAAGTAAGAATCCCAAAGCTGAAACTCAAACTCAACAAAACATAAAGGATGAAAGTATTAGTCATTAATTAATTATGTTGCAATTGGATTATTATTAATAGTACTTCATTATCATCAAAGAAGATAACATTTTTGTCCCTATGTCATAGAAAAGGAGAGAAACAAAGGATACATTTCCAGCTTCTGTAATGGAAAGGTGCTTTAGATCATGCAATTATAAATAATGAGGTCCCAGTGCCTGACACAGGCTGCTGATTTTGTTTGATTTTTTGGTAAATTACCAAATTAAGATTGCATTTCAAAGCTTGAGCTGATGTCTGGACACTCTGAGTACAAAAATTAACAATTCATCTTAAAACAAAATGAAATGGTCATTTGAAACCATAGAATGAAAATGTCAACAGTAAACTGAAAACAAAGCAGATTATTTTGATATATTATCACAACCATTAATTTTACATTTTAACATGTTGATAACTAAATTAAAAAGTTTTCTGTACTGTCGAATTGTTGGTTGAGGGGGCACGCTGGACACCTTAGCTGCCATTGTGCTACATGCTGGGTGTCCAGTGCACTCCTGTACCTTTAAGGAGGGGTGGGCTCCCTCAGGTCCACCTACCCTTGGTTTATCCATTAAATACATGTGCCTCTACTATGGGGGTTCTTAAAATTTGTAGAGTTAGCAATTATAGAATACTGGGGTGCCGTGACTAGGCTTTGTAGCTTATGCATGTATTTGCAAATGTGTGCTAACTAAACCCCTGTTTTTAACGCATACTGCTAGACAGGTAATTTGGTTTGATTGCAGGCTGGCTGGCAAGTGTGAGCCGCAAATTTTTATTTTTTGTTGTTTGATAACTAAATTATGTATTTTAAAAAATTAGGTTAAACACAAAACAAATAAAAATTAGTCCACATTTGAAAATGCTCTGTTTCTCTGAAATTAATTGTTGGGCTTTTGTTAAAACATCTTCAATGTGAAGCAAACCCATAAGGCCAAGAAGAAAGGGATGATCAGAACACTTAGAGTAATATAGCCATCCCCTAAGTGGATAAAGTGTCAGAGACAATTAGAATCATTTTTTTACAAACATTGCATCCCTATATTTTTCAGTTCCATGGGCATTCTGAGACAAACGTGTCTAGTGTAAGGATGAATGCAAAGACTTGTATATTTGGGAAAATTAAAAAGAACCACTTTATAAATGGATGGCTCACCATGGGAGGTGAACACTGCAGGTCAGGACTCCAAAGCATTTTTACATTCTAAGGCATAGGGTTGTAAACCCTTACCTATACCCAATGAAGTGACTGGACACAGGTGATACAAAAAGATGAAACAAATCATCCTACATAAGTTGTACCTGTTTATTTTCATCCATTTGTCCTGTACATGCTTTTAAAATTTAGAGAGGAAAATAATTTTTCACAGACTCACAAAGCAGGGGTCAGGGAGCTGCAATTACACACTGATGTGTGATTCTGATGCGGTGCAGAATTCACACAGAAAACACTGCAAATTCCACACCGCATCAGTGTTAACCAGGGCTAAATATCACCAAAAAATCTCTATCTGTATATAAAAAAAAAAAATAAAATATATAAATTGTGTACAGTGTTGTATGATGGCACACTTATTAATCAAACTATCACTGCACTGACAATTGAAAAACATTGCCTTGTAATGAAGTATTATGACTTAGTACTGTACTGTTTAAAACTACAGTGAAATTATGGAACAGTAAGATGTAGTACTTTATAAGTGAAATGTAAACAAAACCTGGGAATACACAGTGTGGGGTACTTGTTTATATATACAGTGCTCAGAATAAATGAGTACACCCCTTTTGAAAAAGTAAGATTGTAATCAATATATCAATTAAAACAAAAACAATTTCCAAAATTTTGACAAAAGTGAAGTTTATAGGACATTTGTTTAGCTCATTACATGAAAGTAAGGTTAATAATATAACTTAGATTACAAAATGTTCAGGTTTACTTAAATTAGTTAATGCAAAAATGAAAACACCCCACAACAAAAACTACTGCATCTAGTATTTTGTTTGACCTCTATGATTTGTAAGGACAGCACCAAGTCTTCTAGGCATGGAATGAACGAGTTGGCGACAAATTGCAACATCTATCTTTTTTAAATCTTCAAGAATGACCTCTTCTAGAGCCTGGATGCTGGAAGGAGAGTGATGCTCAACTTTTCTCTTCAGAATTCCCCATAGGTGTTTGATTGGGTTCAGATCAGTGGACATACTTGGTCTCTGAATCTCTTTCAACCTGTTCTTCAGAAATGAAACAGTGGACTTAAATGTGCATTTTGCATCATTGTCATGTTGGAAAATTGAATGACGACCAAGGGCATGGAGTGATGGTAGCATCTTCTCTTTCAATATAGAGCAGTACATCTGTGAATTCAAGATATCAATGAAATGCAGCTCCCCAACACCAGTAGAACTCATGCAGCCCCACAGAAGGACACTGCCATCACCATGTTTCACATTAGGCACCATGCATTTTTCTTTGTACTCCTCACCTTTGCAACACCATACAGTTTTGAAGCTATCAGTTCTAAAAACATTTATATTGGTCTCATCACTCCAGAGTACAGAGTCTCAGTAGTCTTCCTCTTTATCAGCATGGGCTCTGGCAAATCCTAGGTGGGCTTTTTTGTGCATGAGCTTTAGGACAGGCTTCCTTCATGGACAACACCAATGCATGACATTCCTCTGCAGTGTACACCCATGTCGTGCCATGGGAAACAATCACCACAGTTTGGCTTTCTACTTCTTAAGCTAACTGCAGTGAACTTGCATGGTGATTTTCTTAAACCCTTCTCATCAGAAGACATCTCTGTGAGATGGTCCAGTTCCATCTTGTTGCATTTTTGTGTCACTTTTGCTACAATTTTCTGATTGTTAAGTAAAGCTTTTCTGATCTTCTTGTAGCCTTCACCTTTCTTGTGTAAAGAAATTATTTTATTTCTCTGGAAATTTCTCTTCCATGTGGTGTCATTGCTGACAGCATGAAATGAGAAAGGGTTTTCTTTGTTAAGTAAGGACCTTTTATAATCAGCTGTCTGCTGGTCACCTGTAGTTGAATCTTTGTTAATAGCTTCCATGCTGCCCTATAGCAAAAATATTGCTACAGGGCGGCATGGGTGGGCAAAATCACGTATATATACGTGATTTTGCAGTCCTGGGTAGGGGGTGCCACCATTCATGGCTTTAGCTGTCAATCACCGGGTCCCAACAAATCTGTTAGGGTGTACTCATTTATGCTGAGCACTGTGTGTGTGTATATATAATATATATATATATATATATATATATATATACCTACCGTATTTTTCGCTCCATAAGACGCACCTGACCATAAGACGCACCCTAGGTTTTAGAGGCAGAAAACAGGAAAAAAAAATTCTGAACTAATGGACTGCAGACATAGTAGAGGAGATGAACAGAGACTGCGGACAGTACAGGGATGACCAGAGACTGCGGACAGTACAGGGATGACCAGAGACTGCGGACAGTACAGGAGATGACTGCTGACCTTTGGGGAGGGAGGGGGAGCGGGTACCTGAATTTGACAGGTACCCGCTCTTACTTCCGCAGAGTTTTTTTTTTTTTATCTTACCTGTTCCTCGATCCAGCCGGCTTTCTGTAGTGTGGGCGCTCGTCGGACAGCCCGGATGCCCAGTGCGCATGCGCGAGAAGCGCTGCACTTTGTGATTGGTCCGGCGGCTTCTGGGATCTGTCATGTGTCCCAGGTACCGCCTTACCATTCACAAAGAGCACTGCTTCTTCTGCATGCGCACTTGGGTCCCGGCTGTCACGCACACTACAGAAGCCGGGAAGACAGCGCGCCGCTGGATAGAGGGACAGGTAAGGTCCCACTGCAGAGCTGAGTGGCCGGCCCGGTATTCTGACACGGCGGCGGTGGAAATACCGGTCCGGCCACTCTATATTCGCTCCATAAGACGCACTGACATTTTCCCCCCTTTTTTGGGGGAAAAAAAGTGCATCTTATGGAGCGAAAAATACGGTATATAGTTTTTATTTTTTTTACATGGGGCTCATACATGTTTACAAAAAAAAAACATGGCATTCTCATTTAGGTTCATACTAGAGCATTATCCAGACATGCAGCTTTGGCGGCAAGGAAAGAAAGGTCAGCAAGGTCCTCTTCCAAACTTTCCTCCCCCCATCCAGTCCCCAAGAGGATACATAGTTACATAGTTAGTCTGGCTGAAAAAAGACAAAAGTCCATCTAGTTCAACAAAAAAAAGTTATAATCCCATACCTACAGTTGATCCTGAGGAAGGCAAAAAAAAAACAGGAAAGCATGATCCAATTTGCTCCTGCATGGGAAAAAATTCCTTCCTGATCCCCCGAAATGCAATCAGTAATCCCTGGATCAAGTTATGGGGGGGTTTGTGATGGTGGAGCTTTAGGAATAACCTTTTTATAAGAAGACATATGGAAAGTCTTCATTATATTATTTACCCTCCCCTGAGGGAATGAGTATAGGATACATTAGTACCATTTATTTTTAATTATCCTACAAAAATAAAATGTAAATTAAAAACAAGTGCTCACATGTAGAGTCAACATCAATTGAGTTGAAATGTCACCTTACCATGTTTTCCCATTGCCACGACAAACTGTCACATAACACAGGAGAATCTCTCACCCTATTAAAAGTCAGCAAACATGTAGGGATACATATTTGGCCATATTTGGTCAGTGATGCCGCCCAGGATCCCTGGCTGCTTTGTTTATATTTTAGTAGTGGGGATCTGTGGTCAAGGGGGGGAACTGTCCAAATCTGACATGATTGTTTAGCTGTTACCCAAAGCTTATCCCTAGTTGCCACATAGTCATGGTTGGTGGGTAAGGTGGCAACTTACTAATTCACAACAAACTTCCTAAAAATGTCTATTACACTAGTTCAAAATCGAAGATAACAACACAAATCATGTGATTAGGAGACCTTTATTTTTGAAATAGGATAACCAGAAAATAAATGTCTAATGAAAGATGCTTCTATTATCAAGATTATCAAAGAAAAAAAAAAGACAAAGTGAGAACTAGAAATAAAAACAGAATCTAGAGTTTTCATTTACCAAGAACCAATGTGGGAACTAATGTTTTTTTATTAATAGAGATATTGAGAAATTGCAAAGAAAGCTAACTGGAATTATATTTTCCCTGAGGAGAATTATTACTCTTGGTAGCTTTGTGGAATTTCAAAAGAAAAATACAAAAGGATATAAAAAAAATATATATCCTGGCACCCACAGAAAGCACAGAATTTCAGATATAAAGACAAACTTTCAGGAAGCAATAATACAAAAGTGGGTATGGCAGTGTCCATTCACACAGAACAATGTACATTTTTAGTATATAGAATCCTGTCCTTTCTGCCACAAGGTCATCACCTAGCAACTGCTGGAGAAACAATCATATAAACATGATGAATACTCTTATAAAGAATTCTTTATAGTTTTTAGACTCTTAAGTATTTAGAGTCTTTAAAGCCTTTTGAGTCTTTACAGTGTGAAAAACACTACTAATCTTCAGTACGTGCTTGTAAAAAAAACTACCAAGTAGTTTTCATTAGACAAAGATGTCTAGAATTTTGAATGAAAATTCTTAGGAAAAGAATGTTTTAAGAAAGTTTGTTCATTTTCTAATCATTAGTGGGTCAAATCAATGTTCATTTTTAATGCAGTGACAAGAAAATTTGAAGGTTCACATTGGAAAATGCTTCTTGAATTAACACATTTTTAACAGGGTATGTGGTTTTAGTTTGGTAATGTCACCAAAGATCCATTATCTCCTGCGCTCAAAGACTCAGATCAAACAGGCGTTAGTGACAAGCAGCATGTTGTGTGTTCATCCGCTGGTGATCAGAAGTTGTGCAGCTCTATCATAAAGCTGGGGAAGCTTGATAAAACTGTAGAAGAAGATGAAAGAAAGAGCGCACAAACCTTGCGCATTACCTCAATAAATAGTGACTAATTTTAATATTACGGAAATATACTCATAAAGTGATGGTATAACAGGCATAAGTAACCATAATGCAAACAGGGTTACAGGTAAATCGAAAAGGGGGGGAGGATGAAGGCTAACGCGTTTCGAAGGGTGCTCCCTTCTTCATCAGAGCTGATAAAAAAAAGAGGAAATACATATACAAATACAAATTCCCCTCAAACTATTTACATGAATCATGATGGTATAACAGGTGGTGATACTGTAGATGAGCATAGCAATACACATGAAAATACTCATGGCAATACGTATAGTAATAATAATAATAATAATATTGTCAAAAATCTCTCACCGAAAAGGTATATATAGAAAACATGTACAAAAAAAAAAAAAAAAATCTTCTTAGTTTGGTAATGTCCATACATTCCTAAATCAAACATAAGTGCAAACTAAATCTTTCAAATAATATTTGAATGTTCTGAGAATTTTCATATGAATTTTCCTAGGACTTTTGCTCAGAATTTATATTAACACAATGCATGGTAAAATGTAACAGTACTTTAAATGTGTGAGTTAACAAAAGCCACTGTGCATGACTGGTACATTGTTCACTTCTCCCTGAGATTGACTAAAATAACCACACTGACAACAAAGATACTTTTAACTGGGTTGATACTTTATCAGCCACAGCTTGATATCTATGAATAATGAACAATCAACCAATAAAACATATCTAACACCAAATGCCTTTTTAGCAGTGCTGAGTGGTATATCTCCACTTTTCTTCCTTAGCAGGAGCTGGTTCAGCCCCCAGCCGTCCAGGTTAGGCTCAGGAGCTTACTTGGGCCTCCTGCTACCAATTCCACCATCTCTACCAGCCACCTGCCACCTCAGCCCACAAAAGGGATAAACGCCAGCTGTGACACAAAATATCATGTGACAACAAATATACAGGACTGGAACCAATAATAACAAGGTGTCACTGAATTATTAATATATTTATTTTTTTATTTTGTTATAAATGTCATAAGCAAAGCCATAACAACAAAACCCAGGAACAAAAACTTGGAGAGGGAGGGTGGGTACTTTTTTCTTCATGAACTTAACGTGATGCAGGAGTCCCCTCCTGTTTCTTTCTCCTACCAATAATCTGCCACCACAATCCAAATCATGCCCCTTCACCATCCCTCCCTTCTCCATCACTTAACCACTTTATTACCCTACGGACTAGTCCGAAGGGACCGTCCCCAGTCATGATGCCTGCTGTGTTTATAACACAGGGCATTGCTTTACCTGTGCTGCTAAGAGTACATAAGGAAACGGTGTAGGTGTAAAGTCTTACTCTATGCTTCGTTATACCCGATACCAAAAACACAAGATTGACGTTTTGATTCAAGCAAATGTTTAGTCACCAGACCATATGTCAAAATTTCAGATGAAGAAGTGGAAGAAGTATTCTCCCTTTCCTGATAATTTCTAGGACCTTCAATTTACAAAAGTTTCCTCAATGAAGGGATCTTTCCCCCTTAAATTTTAAGCACAGTTGAGGCTTGAGAGATAACTCAATTTTGGCTGTGATAATGGTAAAGCTTGCTTCTTCATGCTTCCTAGCTGAAGTAAATATCAGTGGGCAAAATGAGATTCAGCCACTTGTTTCTGTTTGTCTGATGTGATTAGATGATTAATTTGTGTTTGTGTGCATGATTCCTGCAAATCCAACTACACTAAATTCACTAGGTATTAGTCAGATTTATTTTCACCTATTTAGTGTGTAAACATACAATATACTTTGGAATATATCAGACCCACCCACGTCATGATTTTTAATGTGTTTTTGCAATTTTCTATTCCTAAGCTGTGACATATATTTTTTTTTTACAGTACTGTGAAAAAGGCATGTAATGTATATTCTGCTGGGAAGTACTTTAGAGTTCAATGGTGGTAAAAAAAATGTCTTATAACCTGAAGTTCTGAATATAATAATAATATTAATCATAATAATAATAACCCTTTTTAATGCCATTTATAAAATGTTTATTTATAGATCAGTAGGTTTAGGCCAGTGATTAGGTTTGCCTTTATCTGGTATTAATGAAATCACTTTATTCTCCCTTAACAGTAAAAACTAACCAAAACACTTAAGTTAACCACTCTACATTCATTGAGAAAATGCCAACGATTTTCTGAATGGCACCAATGCCAAGTGGCATAATTTCTTGTCTTCAGAATGAAGCAGGACAGCCACTCAGCACAGAAAAAGGAAGCTAGTGGAGATCACTGAATTAGAGGTGCCTACTACAGTGATTTTCAGCTTTTAAAGGAATCCCAAGTATGGTACATGCATAGTTAAATTTAGTCCATGCTGGGCACATGTAACTATGTAAGAAATGCCATACATGGAATTCTTTCATTTATCCCTAAACCTTAAACATTTAAAGCATAACTAAATTCAAGAACAAAGAACAAAAATGTAAAATGCGACAGCTTTCCAGTCTTTAGTTGCTGCATTTTCTTATTTCCAGGCTAATAATATTTTCATTAAGTCCAAAAATGTATTGATCTTGCTGGGAATATTGAGGTTGATTTACTAGAGACAAATATATTGTGCACTGCAAGTGCAGTTCCTCCAGAGCTTAGTAAATTAGATAAATCTTCACCTTGTAAAAATATACCCAATCACATGCAAGGATAATAAAAAACATCATTTTTTTTCCTTTTAGATTGCCAACTCAGGGCTGCTCAGGGTGTGGAGTCTAAGCCCTAGCCTGCTTCTTCACCAGGGCCCTTGATGGTGGGGATGGATTTGCAGAAAGCTGGAACCAGGTCACAGACCCCAGATAAGCGCAGCTGAGGATGCGGAGACCATTTGCAAGTGTAGAGTACCAACAGCAGAAGACTACAGGAAATCCA